GAGCTAAGCAAGGCTAAGTGGTGACAGTTCACACATCCTTAAATCTTTTCTTTCATGGCTCTGATTATGGTGCTTATTAAGTGAAGAGCCAAACCCCCATAGATAAGATAAGGAGAAGTAGGGCAGGGAAGTACAAAGAATAACTCGTGGCACTCAACAAGAAGTGCTGTCAAGACATTAGTGTGAAGGAGATAAATGCTCAGTGAACTCAATGAATGAAAAAACATCTTGTGGACTAACATAAGGCAGGAATCTTGAGCTGAGAGAAAAGGCTGTTCATCCTGGCTGCTTGTCAATAATGGCAGGCGCCGTGTCCTTGCTGCACTCCCTCCTGAGAGCCTAAATGCAGCAAGGTTATTAAAAACCAGCAAAGGGTTACAGCTCTTTCACGACCAGACTGTGTACTGAGTGTCGACACAGCCTGGTACTCACTCTTCAAGATCAGGAGCTGTGTCTTGTTGCCAGGTGACTAATTGCACACCGCTGGCACCCAAATCTGCCAGTTGAAGCCAGCACAGGAGAGAGAAAGCATTCAAACATGTCTTAAAGAAGGCAATCCATGGTGCATTCATGGGTTTCTCTTCCTACACACCAATCCAGAAAAACTGCCCACTGACACTAAAAATCCTGACGTTCACAGGAAGGTCAAGAAACTCTTTTATGTCAGAGCGATGAAGGGCTTATTCTTTTTTTACGACTGTGCTGAGATTGAAGACAAGCCTTTGCGAATCATTGCTTGACTGTATGATGCATATCATTGTGTTCCGCAAGCTGCTTGTGCAAGACCAGTGTTGGTGTAAAGTATTAATAACGTTGTGCTGCTGGCGTACCTCTATATGATCCCCTAATGTCATATCTTTGTAAAAGTTCTACAGGCTCACACAAGGTGATTCCCTTCATGGCTGGGTTCCCATCCAGTAGAAGCATCGCATCGTATTTGTTACTAAATGTACTGCTAGTCAGTGATGGTGTCAAATGTCGGTGACAAGCACTGCTCTACTCAGGCCTTATCAGGATTAGAGCATCTGAATGTCTGTGTGGAATAATAAGAAGAAAGTATCTAGGAGGCGAGGACAGTTTTTTTTTTTAGGAAGAGGGGTTGAGTTGTTTTTAAGAAGAGGGGTTGTGTCATTTCCTTCAAAGAGAAGAAATTTGTGCATCGCCTTCAAACAAATGACACATTATAAAAGATATCTTTAGTTTATGACACACTGATTGAAGCTCTGCCAAGGGTGTGCTTTCTAATGATGTACCTGGAGTCTTTCCCACAAAGGCTTTAAAGATAAGGGTAATACTGAAGTCCCATCCTTCTCAATAGGTTTGCCAAATCCTGCGACTTTGGAGTCCACACACACACACACACACACACACACACACACACACACACACACACACACACACACACACACACACACACACAACACACACACACCACACACACACAACACACACACACACACACACCACACACACACACACACACACACACACACACACACACACACACACACACACACACACACACACACACACACACACTCATTAAACTTACTCAGTTACTCACAAGAGTTATTTGTGTTGTCGAGCATGGCCAGTATTTTTCAGTAATCTAATACTAAATCTGGAACACGCCTTCAAGTTTCAATTTCATCAAGGCACATTGTGTGAATGAGTTTAAAACTAGAGTAACTGCAGTAGGAGTGATGAATACTGTTGAAGAAATGTTAAACCGGGGGTTTGCTGGTCAGCCCAGTGGTACTGATAATATCTCTGTTATCGACTGTTCACTGAAGACAAAAGAAATCCGTTCCCGATAGAGCATGTCCCCTGGAGAACCATTTACTCGACAAACAGTCAAGCTAGCCATGTGCAGCATTCCTGGAATTGTTTTAATCAAAGACGTGATGGCTCTTGGATACTTGATTAAGAGTCACAGATTAGTGTCTGACAATTACAAAGAAACATGACCAACAGGTTTTCAGTCCCTCAGGTGCAAAATCAGAAAGAACAAAAGGGAAATAGTCACAACAAACACTGATGGGTGATCACTGTTTGAGTGCTAAAGGTACAATTGTGTGTTGTGACTGAATGTGTGCTGTATCTTACTATACAACAATGACAGACGGCCACTTTTATCAGCACATGATTTCATAATATGCACTAAAACTCCCAGTCATGGTTGTGTTTCAGTTGAAAACCTCTCGACTTTTCTAAACCCATGATGACCCCAGGATGAATGAGCGTAGTCTTCTAAATTTCCACTAATGTCACTTCCTGCAGTCTAAACTGATTGACAGTTTATTTGTCCTCAAAAGGAAATTCTTATCAACAGTAGGTACATAGACAAAAAAAAAAAAAAAAGTCGAACATACAGAACCGTGTACTTAATAACAAACATGGGATCTTTGGGAATATTTAGAGGGCAATAAACTGCGAGAACACAAATCAACAAATAACCTGACTGCTAAAATTAAACATCCGCACTTCCACTTTGCTCCTTCTGCTCACTATAAGTGCTTGACAGAAGTAGTGAGAATAGCAACAGTTATTGTCTTTTAATTATTTAACTGAATTAGAAAAGGCCTTGTAACAATAAACAAAGCCTGTGATAACAGCTAGTTCAGTTCTTTATTTGCACTGCACAAAACATCCTCCACAAACAGTAATGAAAAGGGAGCGCTGCTGAGAACACGGTTAAGACTATATTGCTGCAAGAAAAGTACGCTTAGGCTGTATCATTGCCCGGGCTTTATCTAATACTGAATCTAGCTCATCTCGTGAAGTCTAGCTGGTTTATTCACTTTACAATATCTTTGTGTTAGGCCAAATCATCTGTGGTGATAATGTTATGTTACATTACGAATGGCTAGCAATATCTGATTGATCAGTCCACTTAATATTGATAGAAACCAAATGTTCTCAGATTTGAAGTCTTTTTGACAAGCCTACATATTTAAGCATCTAAAATTAACAAACTGAAAAACAGATGTTCTTATATTGCTCTTGACTTCATGTCTCAGTCCAACTCCTATGACAGAAACTACGTAGACGACAGCAGCTCTGTGTGTAATGGTGATTGGCTTTCATGGAGCGTCACACTCGGGTAACATACACCATCTCTCCAAATTGTTTGCCCAGTTATGAATAATAAATGGGATGTGTGAGACTTACTGGACTTGTCAGACATGTCACAAGGAGACTCATTGGAGGGGAGGGGCTTTACAGCCACAAACACTAAGTACCAAGAGGTGTGTCATGTCGCCCACTCATGTATTACCATGAAATACTATCAGGTCATTGCTAACTGGAAGGTCATTCTGAAAGTCTATGCCGGCTGGATGTTTGATGTAGCTATAACAATTACAACCCTTTACTTTTACAGTGTTTACATAATTACAAAATGAATGTAGGACAAAGTCATATAGATTCCTGACTAGATAACACTCACTGTTTCTGATTAAAACTAACCAGATCTTTTCAAACACACCCTTTTTCTAAACACGGGGTCAATAAACTATATTACGATATGGTGACTATACACAAGCCTTTCATTGCCACTAATAGTAATGAAAAGGTTGAAAAAGAATAGTTATTTCAGTGTAATACTGGTCAGTAGCCTATTACAGGGGTTAAAATAGAGGATGTCTGATAAGTACAACGACTTTTCCAATAACATCCCCTAAGCTTTGATTTAAAAAAAAAAAGCTTTTGCACTTGGTATAATAAATTCACACAAAAAAAAAAACGAGGAAGGAAAAGCCCAGAGACAGGGTTGCTTAAGCGATAAATGGGCCGAGGACATTCTTTCAGACTCGTAAGCTATTAGGGTTGCTATGAACATGAATCAGACTCTGGTCCAAGGATGAGCAGTGTAGCAGCAGACACATTGAATTACCCCCATTTTCAGCAGTCAGGGGATAATCAGAGGCTTAAGGTCACCAATGTTTGCTTTTCTGCTGCTGCTGCTGCTGCTGCTGCTGCTAGCTCTCTCATTTCTGCCTCTCATCTGCTTTCTACACTTCAAACATTTCTTAAACTCTCTATTCTTGCCAAAATAGTGAAGTATCCTACCATGTCTACAGACTGCTGCTCAGTCAGCCCCCCCCCCCCATGCTACTGACAAGCTGCTGTCCCTATAGCAAGGGACAACAAAAGCAGTCTTCTGTGGAAAGCACAAAGCAAAGAAGGACTGAGACAGCGGCAAGGAGTGAAGAGAGTTGAGGACGCAACAAGGGAAAGTAAGAGTTCAACAAAAGTGTTTCCGTTCAGAAAATTGCAAAAAAAAAAAAAAAAAAAATGCCTCGGCTCGGGCTTGATGGTCACTTTTTGAGACATTGGTGAAACATTTTAGTGAAGCAGGACAGGAGGGTTCCCCTGTGTTGAGACCTGGCTACACAACGGTTGCTGTCTAAAATACTGCCTGCTGCATCAAGCTGCTTAGTCATCACTGTAGCAGGAAGATAGTACAGCACCAGCAAAAGAGCCCCTTCAGAAAAGGCTGACAAGTCTGATGAGTAATCAGCGTGACAAGGAAAATAGATTTCCCTCTGACTCTTAATTTAGTTTTTTACATTAAACGTATAGTAGGCCTATCAGCAAGCAGGGACATCTTTGAATGACAAACAGAAAAAAAAAAAAAAGGTATCGGTTTCGACCTTGTGGTCAGATATTATCTGTAAAAGGATTTGATTTTTAATCAGTCATGGCAGGCCTGTGAGTAGCTTTATCTAGCCTGCATGCTTGTAGTATGAATGAAGACTACTAATGTCTGAGGGTAAATACTATCTTCCTGACAAACCATCCAACAGGCAGCCCTCCATTCAGCATGTGATTTAAATCAGATAAAACAGACCGCTTGTTTTGAAATGCAGGAAAACGTGCACATGAACTGCGAAACTACACCTGTAACACAGGCCACACAGAGCTATAGCATTTCCTGGAAGAGGCTGGTTGTGCTACAACACAACACTGCTGCGATGTGACATCCACATGATACTCACCTAATTTCATTAAAGAGGCAAGCAGCACCCATAGTGAGATTTCAAAGGGGGTCTGTATGTGCTGGTAGTCGAGGTCGAGCACGGGAAAAGCCTTTTTAGTGTGGTTGTGTACCACGTCCGACACTTGGTGATTGTCTACGTTTCCCTTGTGGCTGACATCCGGAGAGCTGGCAGCTCCGAGAGGAAGCACGGAGCCCTCCAGAAACACAAACACCATCAGCAGGAGGAGAAGACCCCTCTCAGGTAAACTCTTCCCGACCCCGGCCGGGCTGTGTGGACCTGCTCTCGAAGGCATTTTTTTTCCCACCCCCCAAGTAGGCTACAAAAAAAAAAAAAAAAAACTTTAAAGCGATGTAATTATTTCTCAGGAGTCACACAAGCGAGTTCAAGGAAGTTGTGTCACGCCAAACTGGTTACAACTTCGCTACCATTACACATTTTCACAGACTTCAGGTGTCCATTCTTGTCAGGTAACGAAAGCCAGCTTGACGTCAGCGTCCTTCTTAGTAGTACAGGTGAACAAGTCCACACGTCACAGGCCGTCCGCTGGGAGAGAGCAGGAAATTGTCTAAATGCAGGAGGGAGTGAATTTGTCTCGACAGCACGGATAATAGTGTTGCAAACAGGAAAGTTCTGTAATTGCTCTCGCTGCGGTGTTTCACAAGTTTCTTTGCCGGTGAGTATTCAATGTCCCTGTCGGTGAAAGACGTCCCTGTTGATGCTGGAGGCGAGCGAGACACAGCGGCATCCCCTCCACGCCTCGTCTTCCTCCTCACTGCCCAAGATACTCGTCCGTGAGGCGGCGACGCTCAGATACTGACCTTGAAGAGAAGCCACGGAGCTGCCACATTGCATTTTGCCCGTGTATCGTATCTATTTCAACTTTTTTTTTTTTTTTTTTTTTAGATGTCACTGTCCGCCTAATGCTGTGTATCCACTGTGGAGGACAAGACCTTGAGTGAGGGGTCTCAGCTCAGAGGGAGGATGGGGAGGGGGGGGGAGAGAAGACCAAGGGGTGTGTGTTCCGCCCCAGCTTCTAAAGGCTTGTCCCGGGGTTGTCAAGCCAAGTGGCGAGTGTTCATTTTCTGCTGTGGTGTTGAGCTTCATACAACCTTCAAAACGCACACCCTTTCGCGGAGGTTTGGTGGATGGGAGGAGGAGGAGGAGGAGTGGACTGGAAGGGGAGGGGTATGGCTGACTACAGTGACACCTATAGGGAAGGAGGCTTACAAATGAAAAGCGTGTCCTAAACGGCTTACAAACACATCCTTTAATATGTTTCCAAAGTGATATGCTGTGTTAGTGATGTAAATGATGTTTTTTTTTTTTAAATCTAACTGGGATGCTGTTCACAGCTACCACAGGATGATAACAATTTAGGGAAACGAAAAGGTCATAGAGGGTAAAGCAGGGGTCTCAACCTTTTTTCATCTGAGAGCTACTTTCAAAAAAAATGTGACCAAGTGACCAAGGGCTACTTGCATCAAATCGCTTGCATTTATTTACATAGCTCAGCTGAATTAAGCTACTGTTTGTACATGTGTGAAATTGCAATAAGCCAATGCCTTGTCAATAATCTTAAATTCACATCAATGTCCGAGAAAACATTAGTACTTCATACTTGTTTTTATGGGGCCAAATATATGAATAGTGGGAAGAGGTGCATTTACCGTCGTCAGATTTTTATTTTTAACACAGTCGGTCAACCTATAGGCGAGCTACTGAAAACCTGCCCCCGAGCTACCTGTTGGAGACCCCCTGGGGTAAAGTGTTGGGAAGCTTCCTTCAATGATAAAGCAGGATGCATTTCTGGTGTTATAGCCTACTGAAGTTCTGGTATCGCACCTGAACCCCATATAATAATAGTGTTGCTGGAGCCTTTTGACCTCTTCAAGTCATTCACTATTCATTGCACCTTGGTCGTTGGTGAAGTCGTGCCAGAAAATCTCTTCAGCTAGATGGGCTGCGGTGGCTGCAACATAAACATCACGACAGGATCCCCACAAATGTTTACCTTCATCCTCATGGTTGTCGAAAGTGGCAATAATGTTTGGGTTGTTTGGTAGTGGTCATTAATGGCCAAATGAGTAGTAGGCCTATTGGTATTTTCAATCCCGGAGCTTGGGCCAGTTGAAGGTGTCAGTGCTGTTTTGGTTGTGGGGGGTCATTAATGGCCAGGTGGTAGAATAGATAGAATTGGTACTTTCAGTCCTGGAGCTCAAACAGAGCATCATAACCTATAGGTAACGCATCAATAGGACAAAAGTTTTTGTTTTTATTTCAAAATCCTAACTCTTAAGCAAAATCATGTAGCTCTGTATTTTCAAAGTCTAATATTGTTACCCTAAAGCAGTTTTCCATTGCTAAAGGTGGGACCTCTTTTTATTTCCTTGAATACATGAGTAGCCATTTACTTCAGTGTCACTGCATGGGCCTATACATTAACATGTTGATCTCTTAAAACCATCCAAACGTTCTTTTCCCGTAATCTCACGTAATGGAAATTATGCCAGAGGACACCAGTTCCCTCCATGATCTGAATACTTAATTTTAGTTAGCATTTAGCAATGATATTCACCGAGGCTGACTGGGTGTGGATGTGCATACATTAGCAGGAATCGATTTGATCTGTAATAGAAAACTGTCTGTAAAGGGAATAATATTTGCTTAAGATGTCGAGGGTCAGTGTCAGATACCAACCAAGGTCCCAAGAGCATGTAGGGGCTTAGTATATCACTCTAGAACACTTACGTAAACAACAAACCTCTTATATGAAGCAAGACTTGTGTTAAAGGTAGTCCTACAAGTCTGTAAATTGTTTGTTTGTTCCTGGTGTGTTGCTGCATGTGGGAGTGGCATTTTAAACTACTCACACTTCAAGTTCAGAATTATGACTCAAAATACATGTGAATTTCCAAACACACCTTTCATACACGCCTAAAACAAAAGCTCCGGCTTTGTATGGAGCAAGTAAACCGCTCACACTACAGCATCTATAGCCTCAGCTAATTTGCAATGAATGTCCCTAGATGGGCCTTTATAAATACATACACTACAGGTTAACCTAGGAGGTAGTGTTTTGCTTAGAGTAACCCCTGGAGCCTTATCCTAAAGTATACATAGTTATACATAGAGTTAAGCCACAACAATGACTTGATAGATAAAATCAATATATACAGTATATCCTTCTAAAAAGCAGAAACATCTGCATGTTGCAGCTGCAGCTTCTCCGCTGCTGCTTTTTGCTTCTCTTTGTCAACGCATGGTAAATAAAATACAATGGAGTTGTGTTGTTGTTGAACAGAGTGTAATGTGAATCTTCATTTCATTTTATACCTTCTATGAACAAACAACTGTGGTAGGACAGTTGTTGCTTGATTAATCAACGATGGAAATAATGAAGCCCTAGTGTAAATACTGGCTGTTTCCCTTCATTGCTTTTTAGTATCTTGACGTCCCTAATCACTTTGTCTTTGCTCCTTCAATGTACAATGAAGTAACATTAATCATTTATTCCAAAGAGCTTCCTGCACAAACAATTAGGCCACTAAGACCAAAAACAAGGACACATATTAGTTGAGTATAGTTTTGAGCTGAAATAGCTGCTTTCTGGGCCGTGGAGAGAAGACTAAAGACATCATAGTTTTGAGGATGAACAGCCGACCAAAATTAGATTAGATAATGTCTCGTCTGTCTGAATGATCTGAGTTACAGCCTTAATGAGGTATGGTCACCGGTGATAACTGTTTGCGGCACAACACACACACACACAAACCTAAACGCAGTCAGAGTTCAGGCGGCAAACTGTCTACACCGTTAATCATTTCTGTCTGCCTGTCTATGTCTTTATCACTCTTTATGACTTTAAGGTGTTTTATCATTTACAGCCTACTATTTCTGTTTGGTCCCTCAGTTACCAGGACACTGACATACTACACAGGGACCATTGTAAACAAAGCTGTAAAAAAGTGAACACCCAATACCCCCTGATCAATGGTCACTCCTAACTCTTTATGACAGCCGAGTACTCAAGTCCAAATGTCAAAGTTTCTTCTTGAATCCTGACAATGCACCTTCACGTCTTGAAGCTGTTTTGCCTTTAGAAGACAGAAATACTGTGTTAAGCATTAACAAAAGAGGAAAACATACAATGGAAGTAAACCAGAAGTCATACTTTAGATTTAAGATGCCTCGAATGCTGATGTAGCTCAGTGGTTAGAGGACGTGTTGCAGAAGCCGTGGGTTTTGATTCTTTCCTGCGTCATCCCCCACTTTCTCGTCACAACACTTCCTGTCTCTCTTCAGCTGCCAATATAGGCAAACATGATCACAAAAAAAAACTTCACAAAGAAATGAACTTCACAAAGAGGAAGCTACGTGTCATTCTTTTTACCAAATAAAGTTCTTGTTCTCAAAGAGGTTTTTTGTCTCATCACAATGTTCCACTTGTTGGAAGGCTTTTTTTCCATGGAAGATATTCGATAATAATAATAATTAATGTAACATTAAGAAAATTACATGAAATAATAAAATTAATTAAAGCTTAAATGCATGTAGCAGTTTCAGGGTTTTGTTACTGTGCATAAAGGATCAATGTCACATGTCATTGTATCCAGCTGTAATGATAAATTCAATGGTTTGGATCAAGACAACACACTTTCATGGGTTTTGCATTCATGATGTTGTGCTGTGTCTTAATTTTTGCACTTCTCCAGTCTAAACAAAGAACACACAAACAATCGCCTGTATAACACTTTCAAAGGGCACTTTGTTAAAGTGGTTATATAGTTTAAGTGCCTTTTGAAGTGTTGTTTTGGTTCGGAAATTAAAACCAACTCGTAACATTTTCTGTCAAGTCAGTCAGGCTAGGTTAGCCATTTTGCTGACCTAGCAGCTGAGCTAAACTGGTAGCTATATTTACGGTCAGATGCGTCAGGGTCCTTACGTCTGACATGTATCACTAATTCCTTTACAGATAATCTGCAGGATCAGCAGCAGTTCTCATTGAACTTGTGCGGGTAATTTGTAACAGAGCGCTGTTAGAAAACCTCAAGGTGAAATCGACATTTGCAATTTTATTTTGTAATTGTAAGTGTATGATATTGCATGTTTCTGTTTTGGCATTTGTGTCTGTTGTACAGGGAGTCATGACTTTTTATTAGGATGACGATTTAATTTCAATGACTAAAGTAGGTTAACTTCTGGCCTTTTACTATAATACAGTAATTCTGCAACAGGATTTTTCAAACTAATCTGTAAATGACCCACCATACAAAACATCAGTAAAGTCTATGTTAGAAGATATAAATACATATATCTGACCCCTGATCTCTGTAATGGTCAGATCGTGATGCCAAGAGTTTTGCACATTTCTACAACATGACTTCAACTGTCCTCTAATCCTCAGAGAAAATAAAAAAGGAAGCATGGTGCTGCGGTTAGCCGATATGATGGAAATTACACACATGCCTGGCCAATCAAGTTTTTCAGGGAGGCTACTTATAGCGAAATGGAATATGTGCTTCCAGGCCAAACGAAACAGAAGCCCTTTGGGTTCAGTCAAAGCAAATCTGCACCCTACTGCTACAGCCAGTAATTCAAAAATCTGCTCAAAGATCAGTTTAAGTCTATCTAAATAAATCCCAAGACTGAACAAAGGGAGTTACAAAATTGAAAGGCAAAAGCGTTTGAGTCCAACCAAGATTCAGGCGAAGCTATTTTACTGAACCCAGTGACCAAGCCTGCAGGCCAAAGCTTATTTGTGTTTGCTTTTGGGAGCCTCTCTTTCATATTCCTGGAGTTATAGAGCACGCATGCTGACAGAAAAACAATTTCTATGTCCACTCTGGTGTGTCTATTTTCTGTGTTTATCTGCATTGGAGTTAGTCACTGTGTCTTCTTCCACGA